TTTTGTGACAAAGCCCATCATTCTACTGTGTTCAGAAAAAGAAATGAGGCCTTTAAAGAAAAAAAATACAGTCCCTACAGTCAAACATGGTGGAGGTTCACTGCTTTTAGCTTTACTTACACAATTGGATATTTAAAGTGAACTCAGCTTTACCTTATCCACTAACAGTTACTTTGCTTTGTGAACAGCCTCTACTACTCTAGTAAATAAACCCAGTTGCTTTCACCATTGTCACCGTCCTCTCATATACCCTATTTTTAGACATCTGCCTATCTTTTTCTGCTTCGATGTTTTTTAAATGAATTTTCAATAAAGCTTTACAAACATAAGTCTTTGTATTTTTACTTCACTCAACATAAATTATAGGTGTAGCCTGACCCCCAGAGGCCTGTGGTGGACCCCCAAAGGCAGGGAGGGCTGACATTTCATTCTGAGTGGAATGTGAACAGTAAATTGGGTACCAGTCACTTTAAGGACTTTTTAGATGCTTTATTGTAGAACAGCCAGAACTGGGAGAGAGGGTATAGGGCTACAGACATCCATGGCAAAACAGACTCCCCAATCCCTTCCAGCTTCCAGTGCAGGAATATTTTAGTAGAATAGAAGATGGCACTTTGTAGTAAGGCAACAGCTGAATAGGGGATAAGCATGACATCTTTCCTGGGGAGACACCAGACTGGTTCTTGAGGGTCCATGCTATCCTGGCACCTCCAGTAGTCATAGGGCTCCTCTGGTTCTCCTTCCAAGATAGTCCCAGACTCCACCTTGGTTCATATCTGGCCTCCTCCTTTCTTGAGGCCTAGTCAGCTTCTCAGACTGAACCTGAGCACGTGGCAATCCCTGAGCATTTCTGCACTTCCCCATGCACCACTGGCCATGAAACTCCTAGTGATTGGCTAGTGAGGCATTGACACTCCTAATGTTCCCCTTTAGGCTGTCCCACTCTGTGGCATAGTCACACCCCACTTACAGGTAAGTGCAATTACTAGCAGAACACCTAGAAATAACCAAATGGTACCAGACTACAAATCAGCCAGACTGATTACAGTTCCAGCAACACTAGATTTAAATAGCCACTCCACTTAGGTTCACTTCAACTCTGGGGAAGGGGGTACTGAAGCTTAGGGACCCTGGTCTGTCAGGTTACATCTCTGGGCTGCTTCAAACCTTACCTCTTGTCCACTACCTCATCAACAATGTTGTCAGTGAAAGACCCTCAGGTGCCTCCTCCACCCACTAGTCAAATATCTTCACAACAAAGCCTACTGAGGAAGATGAAGAAACATCACTTGGTCTCCTGTATTATGAATATCTCCCATCATTTCTCCAATATGGACACATTGGCATGTGAAGCATATGACACAGAACAGAAATGTAGCTATAGGAATAATTATTTTGTCCCCAATATCTTTAAAGTTGGACCATTTTGGTAAGGAGGTTGGGTGATTTCTGCAGTATGGGGTATGTGGGTATGGGGCCAGAAAGAAGGGTGGTATAAGAGATGATTAGATTTCATCTTGTCATGGGAGGAATGCTCCTACTGCTATATGTATCACATTGGGTTTTTTCCAACCATTTGTCTCTTGTATATATACTAGGATCCATTGCAACTGACGTAGATGTGTTAGCATAGCTTGTGTTGCCATGTAATATGGCATTCATTTCTTATGGGGCATTACATTTTTTATAGGAACATATCAGTAGTGTTAGGTGTGCTGGGTGACACAGGGGTGCAGTGTTAGGTGTTCTGGGTGACACAGGGGTGCAGTGTTAGGTGTTCTGGGTGACACAGGGGGTGCAGTGTTAGGTGTTCTGGGTGACACAGGGGGTGCAGTGTTAGGTGTTCTGGGTAACACAGGGTGGTGCAGTGTCAGGTGTTCTGGGTGACACAGGAGTGCAGTGTTAGGTGTGTTGGGTTACACAGGGCAGTAATGTGTTAGGTGTTCTGGGTGACACAGGGTGGTGCAGTGTTAGGTGTTCTGGGTGACACAGGGGTGCAGTGTTAGGTTTCTGGGTGACACAGGGTGGTGCAGTGTGTGGTGTTCTGGTTGACACAGGGGTGCAGTGTTAGGTATTCTGGGTGACACAGGGGTGCAGTGTCAGGTGTTCTGGGTGACACAGTTGTGAAGTGTCAGTTGTTCTGGGTGACACAGGGTGGTGCAGTGTTTGGTGTTCTGGTTGACACAGGGGTGCAGTGTTAGGTGTTCTGGGTGACACAGAGGTGTGCAGTGTCAGTTGTTCTGGGTGACACAGGGTGGTGCAGTGTTTGGTGTTCTGGGTGACACAGGGGTGCAGTGTTAGGTGTTCTGGGTGACACAGAGGTGTGCAGTGTCAGTTGTTCTGGGTGACACAGGGTGATGCAGTGTCAAGGGGTTCTGAGTGACACAGGGGTGTGAAGTGTCAGTTGGTCCGGTGTGACACAGGGTGGTGCTGTGTCAGGTGTTCTGGGTGACACAGGGTGGTGCAGTTTCAGGTGTTCTGGGTGACACAGGGGTGTGAAGTGTCAGTTGTTCTGGGTGACACAGGGTGGTGCAGTGTTAGGTGTTCTGGGTGACAAAGGGGTGCAGTGTCAGGTGTTCAGGGTGACACAGGGGTGCAGAGTTAGGTGTTCTGGGTGACACAGGGTGGTGCAGTGTTAGGTGTGCTGGGTGACACAGGGGTGCAGTGTTAGGTGTTCTGGGTGACACATGTGTGAAGTGTCAGTTGTTCTGTGTGACACAGGGTGGTGCAGTGTCTGGTGTTCTGGGTGACACAGGGGTGCAGTGTTAGGTGTTCTGGGTGATACAGGAGTGCAGTGTTAGGTGTGCTGGGTGACACAGAGGTGTGAAGTGTCAGTTGTTCTGGGTGACACAGGGTGGTGCAGTGTCAGGTGTTCTGAGTGACACAGGGTGGTGCAGTGTCAGGTGTTCTGGGTGATACAGGGGTGCAGCGTTTGGTGTGCTGCAAACTGATACATTGTTCAGGATTCTGGTTGACACAGAGTGCTGCAGTGTCAGATGTTCTGGGTGACTAGTGTCACCCAGAGCACATGATACAGAGGTGTGCAGTATCACTCAGAATACCTGACACTGCACAGCTATGTCACCAAGAACACATGACAATGCACCTACCTGTGTCACCCAGAACAACTGACACCCCTGTGTCACCCAGAACACCTGACACTGCACCCCTGTGTCACCCAGAACACCTGACACTGCACCCCTGTCACCCAAAACACCTGACACTGCACCCG